TTTTTCTTCTTTTCTTTTTCTTGGGACCAAATAATGTATCTAAAGGCACATGTACATGTTATCCAGTTCTACTGGCAGATAATGTTTTTATGTGAAATTGTAGTTTGATGAATTTTAGGATTTTTTTTTTTACACTATTGAGGGCTTATAAGCTTGCTTATTACACTTAGAAGAGAGAAAAAGTAGCTTATAAGCTCAAATAAGCCACCCAAAATACCATTGGAATTTATAAAGATAATAGCAAAAAAATTTTTTATACTTTTTTGATGAGCTTTCTTTAAAGGCTTATTTTACTTATGTGGACCCAAAAAAAAAAAAAAAGGGTATCTTGTAAGCCACCCAAAATACCATGGGAATTTATAAAAATAATTGCAAAAATTATTTTGATACTTTTTAAATGTGCTTTGTTCACTTTTTTTTTTTTTATTTAGTTTTATGCGTGTGCGCTAAGGATCACTATCACATTATTCAATCAACAAAAAATGCAATTTGTTGGACAATTTGGCTATGGTTTCACTGCTATGAGGAATGATGAATATCATTCTAGATGAATTATTCACTTTTAAATAGACCATATTGACATAAATTATACATTTATTTTTTTATAAAATATTTTTCCTTTTTACTTCTATTATTCAATCTCAACATAAAATGCAATTGTTGAAAATAATAAGAAATAAAAGAGACTAGCCCCCTTTTTTTTTTTTTTTGCTAAAAATGCATTTTGAAATAGTATTTTGATAGAGTGCGTGGTTAAAACTTAAACCATTAGTAAAAGTTTTTAATTTGCGTGTAATATTTTTTTTATTGAAGAATGTGATTAAAAATAAAAGAAAGAGAGAAAAATGTATTTTAAAAATAAAGGGGACGAAACAAGAATTAAAGTTCTTATGCAATTTCAGTGGTACTAAAAATAAGTGAAAAACGACGTCTCATGGATTTAAAATATGAATATCAGAAAAAAAAAATTTTAAGACCAAGTATAGTTCTCAATTACAACTCTTTCAAGTATCATTAGGAATGATAAAAATCTATGCATTCGGGGAGATGGGAACATCTCCGATTCCACTCAAAGAAGGTGTTTGGTGGGGATTAAAATTGGATTTTTAGTGGATCGTGATAGAAGTTTTTGAAATGCGTAGTTGAAAAAATGTGAGACCCATAAAAGATGTGATTAATATTGATTGTTTGACTTTAACTTAGATTTTAATCCAGCAATGTAAATTTCATATTTTGTATTTAAAAATAAATAATAAAATAAATTCAGTAAACTTTGCTCTTTTCATTTGGTTTGGGCTGAAACATTTCTATGGGTTGTTGGGCTGTTCTGAGTACAGTTCTACAGTGATAACCTTCAAAACCTAGAAACCAATTAGAAAAATATCAAAAGTAGTTTAAAGTTTAATTGCAAAGATTCGACTCCTCTGCTTAGAAGAAATTCTGCAACCTCCGGCGGCGGTCCTATCGGTGACTCCGCAACCTGTAACAGGTAGTTCATCTTTTACTGGATAATCTTGAATTCAATTATTTTGCGCTGATTTGATACGTGTTATTGTTTTAAAAGCTTACGCACGTAGACTGGGCAATGCGTATTAATTTAAAATTGTTGCTTTTCTTTTGGTTTTCCATTTATCGTTGTATTGATTGTGCTTTTTGGTGAAATTTGGGGAAGAACTCTTGCTGAGGTAGCTATGGCAGCCGAGAGAAGAGCGGTAACACTGGGTGGGAAGGGCTATTCACTGACGTCCTCTTCGGTATTTGAGGTGGCCAATGGCCTAGCTCGTTTTAACGTTGAATTATCAGCGCTTTCAAGGATCTCATCCTCTTCGAATTCGAAATCCACTACTACCACCAAGTTTGCATTATCAATTCCTGACTATTTGAGCGCAGAAGAGGCTAGGGCTTCAATACTTCTTCTCCTAAATAAGCTTCTTCTTTCCTTGTCTCCGGTAGCATTTCAGTTGCAGGATATACTCAAGGAAACGTCCCTTAATCCTAACTATACAATTGACAATGTGCCCATTGATGACGTGGCTCTCTTGGATTATTCAATGGCTGCTATTGATGGCATTTCCGCGATTCTTGATCACCGGTCTACTGCATTGTCGGCTGTTGCTGATGCAGTGGCTGCCCTTTCCTGCGAGGCCCTGAGAGCTGACACGTCTTGTTTCAATTTGATAGACTCTGGTGATGGTTCTTCTTCCAAGGACGATGTGGCTGTTGCATCTGACTTGAAGGTGTTTCTCAATGGGTCTAAATTGGTTAACTCCAGCAAGAATCTTGTAGATCCTGCCGTGGCCAAGATTACCAGCGCCCATGGTAGTTTCAGGGAGAGCGTACGATGGCTCCATTCCAGATCTCGGGTTCAGTTAAATTCGGGTTCCAGAGCTTGCCCTTCTGGCACTGCAGATGCCATGTCCCCTGTTCTGTTATCATTGGCTTGGGCTCTCTGGAATTTGGGGGATCTCAGTTTTCAACGAGCCAAGCTTGTTGGCAACTCAATATCTCGTGTTGAATTGAGTTCCTGTATGATGGAAATGCTGGATGCCAATTGCCCCCATGTTGATTCTCTTGAAAATTTGTACATGTCTGCACAAACTGCTCTTTCCAAGAAGGATTATGTATTGTTTTTGCATGAAATTTATGGCTTATCAGACTTGTTTAGAAAGATTATCTCTTGGGAGGCCACGGCTGCATTCATTTCACTTGAGGGAAGTGACCTGATTGAGAAAAGCCAAGTCAACAATGGGGGCGAGAAGGTGCCTTCAAGTGAAAATAATGCAAAAACAGATAAGAAAGGTGAAAAGAAAAAGAAGGTGGTTCTGGGAAAAGGAACTGCTGCTCTCATGCAATTCATTAAGAGCAGGTTGCTGAGCGAAGCATCTGAACCAGACTCTATTAGTGCTTCCGCTGTACTGGTGAAATGCTCCCAAAACTTCCTCTCGATATTGGATCCCAGAGACCTGGGATTTGACTGTCTGGTAAAGAAAGTGAAAGAGATAATAGAAAGCAATGAAAGTCGAAGACTTCCAAAGCTCCCAAAGGTATCATATTTTAGCATCTTTTCTCACTTACCTTTTTGTTTTTGCTGCTATTGGGTTAGTAAAGAGGAACCAGCAGTGTCAGTAAGTACTCTGTCTGGCAGTCTTATTGAATTGCACCTGACAAAAGCTTGAAATGCCTGATAACAGAATAAGAAATCTTCAATATGGAGAAAGAAACAAAATTCAAACTATTTACATCCGTAAATCAGCTCATTCAATTTCAAAAATGATTTCCCTCGAAGAATAAAAACCTTTCCGTAGAGTTTAATGTAGGATTCAACCAAACTTCATGAATAGGGAGTCTTAATCCTGAAATATCCTAAATTTCTTGTTAAGGTAAATTCACCAAGTAATTTTCAAGCCGATAAGCACAATGATGCATAAAGATCTCCTAGAGCTCAAGAATTGAGTGAGTTGCAGGGAAGTAAGTAATAATTAAAATGCAAAATTTTGAGAATTTCTTTGTGGAAATCCTGCACGCCATGTTTTTTATGGTTCTTCTAGCGACAAGTCACACCATGAACATAGAATGTATAAGCATAGGGGCCATCCTTGTCAGACCAAACTTTGTTTGGAGATTTGACCAAACTTAAGCTGTGGCTTTGATGCTAGGCTCAATATTTTGGCGTTGCATCTTCATTCCCTTTCCGATTCTACAAAGATACTCCATTTTCGTTTTAGTCCTTCTTATTCAAACAAGAATATTTTTGGTGAGTTTTATCCATGCTTAAATATAAAGAGATATTAAGGTCACTGGAAGTTGATCAATATTTTGGAATTTATTTGTTAATTGAGAGGATATCTTCAAAATGGCATGAACTTGCTAGTCATTTCTAAATTCTCACATCAGTTTAATTGATTGTGGGCTTTATTGACGTTCTTTTTCCTTTATATGGGTTTGGGCTTTGGTTAATGAAGCTTCTCGCTTGGATGTTTTGGTCTTTTCTTGATTGGTTTTATGTATTGATAGCTCGTCTAGTATTAGGTGCCTTCTTGTTTGATTTATGATTGTTCCAAAGGAATGCTTTTTGCATAAAGCAACTTACCTTTTGACTTTTTTGCATACGCAGGGTACTCGCGACTTTGCAAAAGAACAGATGGCCATAAGAGAGAAAGCCTTCTCGATTATAGTTGACGTTTTCAAAAGGCATGGTGCCAGGGCTCTAGATACCCCTGCCTTTGAATTGAGAGAGACTCTTATGGGAAAGTATGGTGAAGACTCAAAGTTGATCTATGACCTCGCTGATCAGGTATGCTACTTGTTTCAGTGGACCATTGTCAAATATGGATTGTTGTCACAAAGTTCTTATGTGCATATTGACGATTGTCGCTGTTCTTATATAGCAAAACGGACATTTTGAAGCTAGTCCTCATGTACATGGTTTGTTCACAATTAATTTGTTGATTGATCAAGAAAAATCAACTCAAACATTTTGCACTTTTATTCTCTCTCCATAACCACATCAAGCAACACTTGCCATGTTGCTTAATGAGACCCTTTAAGAATAACTTTATAGTCATAACCCAACCTACCATATTTCTGTGACAAGAATAAATTATATTTCACTAGACTTAGTCCACTTCTGCAAACTATCGAGTAAGCACGTCTCTTTACAAATAACGTGTCAAAAGCGCCAATACCACTAATTAACTCTTCCGTCTTCAGTCTAGGTGTCGTAATTTCTCCAGATCCTTTTAACATCCAATACCTAATCTCTTAATGATTTCTTCCAAAACTCATAACACGTGTTCTCGAATGCCTTTGCATTATGTGCCAACCATCTCATCTTTTATTGTAGCTATGGCAACTTCACTCTTATAAATCCTATCCATTAATCATTAAGCAGTCACGTGTTCAAATTCCCTTCTACAATTATATTTTCCTAGACTTACTATTTTGTGCACCTGATCAATAGAATGGATCCTTGGCCTCCTCTCTACATGTTAGCACTAATATTCATCACTGGTTGCGGATTATGCCCTATGCCCTAGCCTATGGCATATGGACATTTGTCACTATTTCTAAAGTTCAATGCAACACATTGCTAGCACGAGATGCCCCATAAAATTTTGACAACTTGTGCATTTATAAATATTCAGCTCATACCAATGGTTATCTGATTTGCTCCCCAAAAACAGCTATGGGTCACTATAAATAGTTTTTGTTCCCAATCACATTTCATAGCTTTGGAAGAAATGTTTAATTGAACATCTAAGCAGGACATTATGTTTTATTTGATCTCTGTACACACGGATTCCACACTTACAATCTTTATCTATTTTTACATGTTACAATTTGGATAAACAGATCCTATGTTGACTAAAAATAAATTTCCTCAATGGTCTTTGGGTCATAAATTTCATTGATATCACAGCATTGAGTGACTAATGTGCAATAAATTTACCACGTTACACCTTCTTCTTTCTCTCGCTGCTTTTGTTTTCTTCTCTAGCTTTAACTTTTGCTGGCTTGTTTACAGGGTGGAGAACTTTGTTCACTTCGCTATGATCTTACAGTTCCATTTGCTAGATATGTGGCTATGAATGGCCTGACATCATTCAAAAGGTATCAGATAGCAAAGGTGTACCGAAGGGATAACCCATCTAAGGGGAGATACCGTGAATTCTATCAATGCGATTTTGATATCGCTGGTCAGTTTGAAAAAATGGGGCCAGATTTTGAGGTCATTAAGATTTTGACGGAGTTGCTTAATGAACTAGATATTGGGGATTATGAGGTAATTTTCTGAACAGTGCCAATGAATATTTTTAAATATTTCTATACCTTAAGTTTTTACCTCTGAGATCGTTATATGCCTTACATTACTATTGTTATCTGCTATATCAATGATGAAATGATGATCTGCCATTATGTGGTAGAATGACTGTGATAATATAAGAACCAAAGGAATGTGATCTTGGTCTAGTGGCTGGTGGTCTATCAGCATTGGCTTTCAGATTTGAAAGAATATTAACTGAAAGAATATGGCTTTTACCTGGTGATGATAATAGTTTATTTATTTATTTTTATGTATTCATTTGCTAATGGTAATATAATGATATTATTTTGTTTATGTTGCTTTGCTTTCCTTATCCCTCTTCAATTCTTGCATGTTTTGACAAATCTGTTAAGATGTTTGATTAGATACATATGTTGCTTCATGTTTAACTTTTTACGATTTTGCAGGTGAAGCTGAATCACAGGAAGCTACTTGATGGAATGCTGGCTTTATGTGGGGTTCCACAAGAAAAATATAGAACGATTTGTTCAAGTATCGACAAGTTAGACAAGCAAACGTTTGAACAGATAAAAAAGGAAATGGTGAGTGTCGTGCTCTTGTGTAAAGTGTTTACACTCACTGTTATGCTAAGTCAGCCTATTGCTCTAATTGGTGATGTTCACTTGCTGCCGTGAATGGAATAAAAGAAGAATTCGTCATATTTTTTTGTACTATATGCTAAGATAAAGCACTCACCTCTTCCCTCTGTGTCTCTTGTCTCTGCTCTTTCCCAGGCTTTCTAGTTCAGATTCTTTTAAAGTTACTCTTTTCAGCTTTCCTTTCATAATGAAACTGGTTGGTATACTTTTGATTGTTTATTTATAATTATAGGTAAATGACAGAGTAATCAACGAAGAAGTTAGTATTCGGATTTTGTTGGTTGTGTTGTGTAGTTTTTACGGCGGTATATAGTTCCTTTCAGTGAAATTTACACTTTCTGTCTATGAATATGTATATGGGTTGCTTCTGTTGGCAACTTTCAGTATAACATTTGGTTTTCACTCACAAAAGTGGAATCAGATGAGACATTTAAATAGATTTCCATGTCACATTAGTCTAAACCTTTAAATAGACAGAAATTAGTACCCCTTCTTGGAAGACTATTGGAGTCCATGGACGGAGGGTAGACTAAATATAAATCTTTAACTTCAGTCCGTGTTGCTCGGACTCATAGAGGAGTATTCAACATAACCCTCTCTCCCGTGTGTATATGCCCATCAAGAGTTTTTCATTCATTTTGGAGGGACATGAAAATGTGTTGGGTTGGAATCATCACATGAATAGTGCAGACAGCGTAACCTAAGCTTCTGTTTTGGCAATATTCTGAATCCTGCATTCATTTAAGCAATTTTTGTTGAGGTTTATTACCTTTTTATATACAAAATCAACTTTCTTTGCTGTTATTCGTGCAGATATTTTAAATTTTGTGAAAGAACAATGTTTAAGATTTGTAGATTAAATATATGATTCCACATGTTTAGGTGGAAGAGAAGGGTTTGACTGAGGACATAGCAGATAAAATTGGAACTTTTGTTGGACAAAGGGGAGCCCCTGTGGAATTATTGTCTAAGCTAAAACAAGAAGGCAGTAAGTTCTTGGAGAACAGTGAGTCTGAGCTTGCATTGAATGAGCTGGAGATTTTGTTCAAATCTTTGGAGAAGTCAAAGTGTATCGACAAAGTGGTTTTTGACTTGAGTCTTGCAAGAGGTCTCGATTACTATACTGGAGTCATATTCGAAGCTGTTTTTAAAGGGGCTGCTCAGGTATTTTCTTTTATTTTCTGCAATGGATTATTCGGGTGTTAACATTTTATAGTTCGTATGCTATTTACGGGCATACACCAGAACAAGGTGCAAAAAGGGCTTCTTGTTTTCTGTCAAATCTTTAGAGAATTGTATGTTTAGGCAATAATCTTGTTCAATTTAATTTTTCCTCCTTGGGAAGCTGCAAAGATGTCTTTTTGATAAGATGTGCCGTAGAGTTACTCACGAAATACTTCAATTTCTCTCTTTCAGCTATTTTCTATGTTTTTGTGATAGCATTTATGTCTTTTTTTTTTTTTAGTGCGTCTTTGAAACTCGAAAGAAATAAATTTTATTGTTTTGCAGGTTGGCTCAATTGCTGCTGGTGGACGTTACGACAATCTCATAGGGATGTTTGGCGCAAAGCAGGTTCCTGCAGTTGGAATCAGTTTAGGAATAGAAAGAGTGTTCGCAATAATGGAGCAGCTTCAAAGAGACAAGGACCAGGTTCAACCTTTTCATTTGGAATCCAGAATCTTTTTTAATATTGGAATTTTTGTTGTTTGGTAGTACTTATAAGCTGATCAAACATCATTTTTAACCACATCCTTAGGACTGACAACTTTTATCTACTTTTTAACAACACATTCCTCGGGACTCACTATTGATAAGCACTTAAAAGCTTAGACAAGCAAGCACTGGTTACTATTCTAAACATATTTGGATAATTTTTTTCTTTTTTCTTTTCTTACTCGTACGGAAAAAAGTTATATATATAATATATTTAATGTTGCTCTTATTTCACCCTCAAACAAGCAACTTATTTCTACTTTTGATCAATAACCTTCTTGTTTACTTGTAAATAGACTTTGTAAGCTTAGCCAGACATGCTCGTGTGATTCCTCCATGGACTTGAATGACTCGTTTCAAAATCACTGACAGTCTTTGTATACTCAGGATATTCGAGCTGCTGAAACTGAAGTCCTAGTGTGCATTATAGGCGATGAATTATCGTTAGCTGCTGAAGTTGTAAGTGAACTTTGGGAGGCCAAGGTGAAAGCTGAGTTCAATGTTCACAAAAGAGTGATGAAGCACATTGATCGTGCCCGAGAGTCGAGGATCCCTTGGATGGTAATCATAGGAGAACGAGAACTTAATGAAGGAGTTGTAAAGTTAAAAGATGTCACAGCCTCTAAAGAGTATGAAGTTCCTAGAAGTCAACTCGTAGAGGAGCTTAAAGGACGTTTGAACAACACGTTACCTTCTTAACATCACACTTTTAAGGTTGTAAAATTAAGTTGCCTTCTCTATCAGTCTGCTTATTTGCATTGAGAAATTGCATACGTTTAGTTATGGCTGGGGATGGGGGTGGACCTGTTATGGAAAAATGTCCTGTATTTTTTCAACTTAATGGAACTAAATTTTATTTCCTATTGAGGAAACAAGTTATAAAGAATAGTTGGCTGGGTGCATATGATTTATAAATGTGCATTTTTTTTTAGAGCATCTCTAAATGCGGCGTGAATTGATATTTTCAAAACCTCTTTTACATTCTCGATGGATCTAAATAAATTCAAATTCCGCTCTAATGGAAAGATTTAAATTTACTTTTTGTGGATGTAAAAAAAAATTTAATTTATATATTTTTTACATTGTCAATTGAAAAATGCAATTTGCATCTCCTTTGCATATTTTAAAGATCTAAATTTTTATTTTACATTATCATTGGAGATGTTCTCATAGTAATGTTATTTAACACTTTGGATCACCGGATTATATTACAATTTGAAAATATGTGGTTTGAGGGCTCGGATTGTTCTGACCAAACGATGCACCCATTCTGAAGTGACAGAAATAGGCATCCCATTTTTCACTATCAATTTTGTATAAATTAGTTTTTAAATTCTCCTCCAATATTCCATCCAAATTATATTCAAATTATTTATGAAAAAGTAAAAAGATCCTAGTTTTTATTCTATCCAAGAAGACTGTAAATATTTTGGTTCGACCGACGAGATTTGTGTAGTGCAGTACTAACCTTGAATGAGCTTTGTTTCTCGAGATACCGACGTCCGATGCATTTTACTGGCGTCTCCTGTAACTGGTAATTCACCATACATTATGGTAAAATCGAAAGAGAAGAAGAAAAGGTACAAGAAAAAGAAGAAGAGAACCTGCTTCAAAATCGACAAAAAAGATGAAGAAAAAGAAAAAAGAGCAAATAGATGTGAAAGTCAGGACTGTTTCTGAAAAGAAAGATAAAGTCCCCCCAATAATCGGCTACTTCCCTTCCGGTTATAACCCAATAAAGAACCACAGTGAACTAGAAGCAACTGTCAAGGTTTGCAGGAATGTGAAGAAGAGTAATCGGTTGCAGATGGTGGTGAGCACCTATGGATCCCAGGTGGATTTTGTTGGGACGAATTATTCCGGTGAAGCCACGGCACTGCAGCTGTGCAAGCAGGCCCTTGGTGTACTGGTTAAAGATACCCAGACATTAAGGTAAATTTTAATGATAGATATTTTTCCTTAACAAAGACAAAAGGAATCTCCTTAATTTTGGGCAAACGATAACTTCTTTTTTGTGATTTAAGATGTTTATGATTCTGGGGTTCTGCTTGTAATACTGAATTTATAGGAATGCTTGGTTTTTAAGAATGATATTGATACGGTATGACTACTAAAGGATATTGTGGAAACTGATAAAAAGTGGGTTTAGGGAGGTAATACCTATGAGATGTTCAGGTACTTCAATTGAATTCTAGATATTGTGTTCGATATCTTTTCTCGGGCTATGTTACAATTCTGTTCTAAAGTTTTGCCATATTGGCTGTTGGTTACTTTTCCATGTATTGCAAATTTGCAATAAGTTGGTGCTCGTTGGAAGCATGTTTCTGTGAATTGAATCAAGATGTGTGCGTTGCTACAAGTGCAGATACTTAGATTGGAAACAAAAGTTGGAGTGGCAGACCAACCTGAAAGTGAACTCCTGGACGAAGATAAGGAGGTAGATGATGCGGAGGAAAGGCTGATAAATTAAGAAATTTGATGCGCATGTATTCAAGGAAGAAGAATGTTAGACAGGTGCAGCCCGTCTTTACTTTTACAAGTTTGACAAGCTTATTGCTCTAAAAGTTTTTCATAAACGTGTGCTGTTATTTTTGTGGCCAGTAATAGGTTTCGTAAAAACGAAAGTATCCCAGTTGTTTATGTTTGCCATTATGGGCTAACTGCGTAATATTCAGCCTAATAGACACCCCCCACCCCGGGGTATCTAGGTATAACAAAAATGCCCACAACACATCTGCCCCTGTAAACAGACACACACTCACAGTAAAAGAACTTCAAAACTGCAATCTTAGGCTCTTAGCATATCACATTCTCTTGATTGTGCACTAGGAAATGGGAATAATGTAGCATTTTTCCTTATATTTTAATTTCAGGATGAGAAACATCATGCATTGCGTCAAACAGGATATCCAGCAGTTCATCAGGATTTGGACTTGAAATTACAAGGAGTCAATTTAATTAAAGAGGCACTTGAAGCTGCTGCTACAGATAATTCTCTCAATATCCCACCCTAAGATTTGGCTGCCACTTCACCAGACATGGCATATCCGCTTGACAAGATTATTTTGAAAGGGTAGTGGGATTACCTTCTTGACAGTTTTGAGTTTTCAGGTACTGGGGCAGAAGCGACACCCAGCAGCTTCCCCAAATTTGTCCACAATTGAGTTCGTAAACTGGAAGACTTCCAGGTACAAATTTGTAGTTCGTTTTAAGCTCCTGACACTGTAGTATTTTCATAGTGCCTAATACATTGAAAGTTAGACAAATTCCCTTGCTATTTCTACCATTTTCTAATTCCTTTTCACAACTTTCATTGATGAAGTAACTGGCATCACTTCAACATTTGCAATTTCTTGTTGAGTCTTTGATTCAATTACAATTTCCTGGAGGCTTCCATCACCTTATATTTAGGCCTAAATTCCCAAGTATCTCATCCCAGAAATTCCCAAGTATCTCATCCCAGAAATTCTCTCCACTTTTTGCTACTCCAAATGATTCAAGAATTCCAGACGAGAAAAAGAATCTGCTCATAAGTTACTTGTTAGTGCTCACTATGTTTGTGGATGATTTCAAATCCGACCCATCGGATATAGCCGAGGATCTTAGAATGACACCTGTGGCATTAAGAACCCATTACGAAAACTTAGGTTGCAAGTTCAGGCTCTAGAATCAAACGATCACGTTTTTGATTTCCCGCAAGTGAACGGGGTCGTGATCAAGTAATATAGTAGTGTGTAAAGTGTCGAACTCACGAGAACTACGTGTTTGATCGAGTTAAAGTTAATAATACCCTTAATCGAATAGTAATAATAGTTTATAATAAATTTATATTTAATTTATCACGTACAAGAAATTAAAGTAAGAGTTTATCAAATTTATGAAATGTATTGCTAAGATCTAGAATCTCCCTTATTCATCCATTTTTAGTTTAACAATTAAATTGACAATTTGATATCATGCGAGTTGGTCGAAGTTCCAAATTTATTTAAAAGCCTCTCTCGATAGCAATTAAATCTATTCCCCTCATGCGACCTTCCTATCTCTCGATGAAAAATACGAACATGATAAATGCATTAACGAATTAGAACATCATTATGAATCATGCAAAGCATAGAGATATATTTCTATCATCTATCGAACCTCACAATATTTATTACTATGTGCTAACGATTCTATTACCTCTCTCGATGATAATAAAATCCACAAACAATTCAACTATCGGCCAATTAATTAAAAAGCAAACTAAATCATAATAAATATCCACGCATTCTAATAAATTAACGTCAATAATTAATTAATACTAAAAGTTTCAAAACAAGGGTTCATCTATATCTTTAGCAATGTAAAAATCTAGCCTAACATATTGAAATTACAAGAAATCATATATAAGTGAAAAGACATAACACGGATTATTGATGAATTGAGAACATGAAGATGAATCTTGAAATCTTAAATTTTTTCAATGGTTTCTTGATGAATCTCCACTTGTGCCTTCTCTTCTTTGTCCAAAAATTAGGTTTGAATCTTCACTTGAATGAATTCTTGCAAATCTTCATCAATTCTCTCACAAAAACTATAAATTATCTTCCTTTGATGATCATAATTGATGAATAATGGAGTATAATATGTACATGAGAGTTCCCTAATATGTATTCTGCTGTTATGTATTTGTAACAGTCGAAAATTGGTGGAAAATCACGTCCAAATTGACTTCCAAAATAGTTCTAATCGGGTACGAAAAATTGCATTCGTTCGCGGATTTTTTGTTTCTGCACAGCAGTCAGTATTTTGGCCATAACTTTCTCGTCTGATATCGGATTGAACCGATTCAAAGTGCTGTGGAAATTTAACTTAAAGGGCTACAACTTTGATGGAAATGGAAATTTCTCAATTAGGACGTTTATTATACCAAAAATGAGTCTCAATTTTTGACTAAAAATCTGAAATATATCTTGTGTGATTGGACATTGATTGTGATAATATTCCATTCCTTTTTGAGTTCTAATTCCATCCAATTGTCTCATAGAAATCTTTAAAGTATCATCTTATGGTCCAAATCAACTATTGAATTTACAATTTGACCCTCAAACTTTGGATTTTGCCATTTTTCACCATTTTTCGTTTCTTTCTTTCCATTCCTCGTCCGACCATTGAATTTTACCTATATAAATTAAAATACAACAATTTAGGATATATTTTGTGAAAAAAACTATCAAATATTATTATTTTAGACCCCGAATAAGTGTATAAAATACACTTATCACCCATTCTGTAAGAGTATGAAGTTGAGTAATTGCGGAGTACAGAATCGAATATTTATTCTTTTGGAATAATTGTGGGAACATTGTTCACAGAACAATTACAAGTGATGCATTGGTAGCATCTGTATAGGTTTTTTTTTTTTTTTTTTCCCTAAATGTCCAATTAAAGATCAACACGTGTATTCTATAAAAATATTTTGTCACAGTCTTATGTACGTATAGCATGATTCTAACCTTGTTCGCAAATGATCACTGCCAATCCTGCAATGGGTTTGATCGGCAATTGAGAAAGGACAGTTCACAAATATACTCGATTAAATAGTGAAAGATTGGCCAATTGAGTAGTGCTAGACAAGATTGTACAATATCATAAATGATAAAAATAATGTTAAATGTACACTGTGGAGTTGACATTTGTGTACGTTTCATTGGAGTTCAAAAGGTGTTGGAAAAGTGTGTTTTTTTTAAAAAAAAGAATTGTCCAATCATGTGTTGTCACGTGATATAATGTAAAAAAGATGTTCATGTAATATGATTGAAATAATAAACAAGAATTCAATTCATCATGGAGCCCAAGAAACTAACTAGCAATTTAGTGAAGATTCACGACAAGCTTATCAAACTGTCAGTTTTCCCGATCGTTATGTTTTTTTTTTCCCTTCAAATATTTAGCAGCCTATAAAGCTCAAGTGTAGATGATATAGCCCCTGTTTGGTCCCCATTATTGTAGATTTTTAGGGGGTTGAAATTTTTTAGAATAGTGATTGATAGGAGACGTGTGGTTGAAAAGTTTTAGATTTGTGTGTATTATTATTTTATTTGATGAATGTATGGTTGAGATGAAGAGAGAGAAAAATTTAATGTAATGTAATGAGATATAATGAGGGGCAAACAAGGGCATAGTATATGCATGAACACGGAAATAGAGAGGGGGGAAGTAACCATTAAAGTGAAGAAAGGAAAAAAATGTGGGGCTGTTAGTTCATGACTGATATTTTATACTTGATACGACGTCGTTGTCACACATACGGGCTAACCCGCGAATACTCAGCAGAATCCGACCGGTTCTTCTAGAACAAATCCACCGACTCACACCGTAAACCGGAGCCCTTTATTATTTCTTCCCACGACAAACCTAAAACTTTCTCATTCTCCTCCCTGGAAATAATCGCCACCTCTTTCTCGGAGTGCCAACCCATCTAGTCGGGCAAGCGACAGTCAGCCATGGCATACCAGCCTCGTGCTCCGAATGAAAGCAGCGGTGATGAAAACGATTCAACTCGTCGACTTTACAATCCGTATCAAGACTTGCAGATCCCGGTACAAACACTATACAAGCTCCCTACCTCTCCGGAGTACCTCTTCCCGGAGGAGTCCCGCGCGCAACGCCGTTCCTGGGGAGAGAATCTCACGTACTACACTGGCATAGGTTACCTGGCCGGTTCCTCCGCCGGCGCCGCAAAGGGATTCATCTCTGGCCTCAAGTCCATCGAGTCTACGGATACTCTAAAGCTGAAAATCAACCGGGTACTCAACGGGTCGGGTCATACCGGGCGCCAGATTGGAAACCGGTGCGGGATCATCGGACTGCTGTACGCAGGCCTTGAGAGCGGCATGGTGGCTTATAGGGATACGGACGATGTGATCAACAGTGTAGTGGCCGGACTTGGCACTGGGGTGCTCTACAAGGCAGCTGCTGGGCCTCGTTCTGCAGCTGTGGCGGGGGCGATTGGTGGTGTGCTGGTTGGGGTCGCCGTTACAGGCAAACAGGCATTGAAACGATACGTGCCCATTTGAAGTTTATATTTTGAAATTAATTATGTTTTTGTTATTCCATTAATTAACCATTTACTTACTTTTAGTTTAAGCTGGAAATTGCAATTTTTGAACAATGCTGTTAGCTGCAGAAATTTTTCCAAGAAATCATGCATATGGACATTTGGCAAATTATCGTTGGAAGATGATGATCACAAAAAATAATAATAATAATAAAAGAAGGGTGCTGCCTGTACAGTTTCTGTCAATTTTTTTCCTTGCAGAATAATTCATTTTGGGGTCATGCTAGTGTGGCCCCACCCCACTCACGTTATGTCAACCTTTATGGATTAATCTATGTACAAAGATTAATTCTTCATTTTGAGGTACTGATATTGAAAAGAAAAAAAGCTAGGCATATAGGACCACATTAGACGGGTCAGGTGATAAGTTGGGGGAGAAAGGGCAATGCGAACGTGCTTATAGAACATTAATCTGTATGGAAATTCATTTAATCAAACTTGTAATTTAATTTCATTTGCCACCTAAAGTGTTGTTAAATATCAATGATTTTAAATAACATTACTTGTGTACATATTTCGACAATTAAGCTATATGTAACATTGTCCTTCATAATGTGAGTGTCATCCTTCTATGTAGAAGAAATTTGTGCAGTAATGTGATGGATGTGTTCAAAATCAAAGAGCGCAAATTTTGCCACCCAAAAGAGTGTAAGAGAGAATGTAAGCACATCGTGATTTATACAGTTTTGACTGGGAATCCTTGTCCAGCCATAGGCCAGACCAGTTTGCTGAGGTTGGGCTTGTAGGCTTTTATTTGGGTCTACATTTTACGAAAAAACTTAGCTTTAAAATTAATTTTTTAGTAAATTTTTGCAAAAGTTGATAAAATGTAGAGTTAAAAACACGAAATATGTAATTAAAATTAATTATTAATTTGAACTTATATTAAAATCGAGATTTAATAACGATTACATGACCGACTTCTAGATAGCGACATACATGCTCATCTTGCCACAATTCAACCAGTGATTTTATTCATTCAATAATGCACCTGTTTAATTTAGCTAATATCATATTTATAAATAAATTTTGATAAAATATGTAGTTAAAATTTACATGACCTGCAACATGATACATGATACTAATGCAATTAAAAAGAATGCCTAGATAATGTGTAACCATCTCAAACATGTGGTGTCAAGGTGCATAATGAGGGGAAGAAAAACCACAAATTGCAATACCAGGCAAGAGGAGGAGAATGAAAAACCTTGGACACATCCGAACGGACTGTTTTATTTGACAACCGATATCTATCTCATGCTCAGAGCTGGGCATTATAATTTTGTCTACAATGTAATGCCACAGGGCCCAATTATTTGAAAAATTAAGTTACCCCCATTCTTTTGACAAACGCCAAAATTGAAACTTGGGATGATCCGTCATCAAAACTGGAAAAACGAGGAAAGGCAGAAAATGAATGAATTTTAAAGCAACATCGTTTCTGGATTCTCAATATATCCCTTAAATGCCTTCAGCCATTCTGCACCAATTGCACCTAAACAAGCAGTAACAAGTCAGAACCTTCAGTGAGAAACTAACTAAGCCAGTTCAGATTTGGCATTTCTGGAGAAATAGTATTCTTATTCTCAATGATCCTTCCAAGGCAGAAGGAAGGACTTGAGCATTACTAAATGTGCGACTATATTTTGTGAGGATTATAGAAATGTATTCATTTGTCAAAATAGAGGATCTCGATTGATTGTGAGGAGTAAAGGAATTTAGACCAAAATACCCAATGAAAGTAGATCGGTTAATAAATATTATGACCAGAATTGACGAGACTAAGTCCCATTCTAAAAATCAAAACACGGAACTTACCATCAATAACCCGATGATCACAGCTCAACGTTACAGACATGAAAGAAGCAAACTTGTATTGGTCAGGACCACCACCAGGTATAACCCTCTTCTCAGCTGCTCATAGAGGTTCTAAGTAGTGAGAAGGATGATATCCACATAAAAACAAATACCTGCGTCATCAAGAAACAAAAAGCACATCTTACCGGAGCCAATTGCAAGAATGCCTGATTGGGGAGGATTAATAATGGCACAGAATTGCTTGATTCCAAAAGGCCCTCCCAAATTTGACACCGTGAATGTGCCCCCCTGCAAAGAGGAAATGTTAGTCAGAGTTAATCATCTCTCAAGGAACTATCAATCTAGAGGTTGTACACAGAGTTCATCATATCTCAAGGAACAATCAATCTAGAGGTTGTTCTGAGTTTCACCTCATAATCTTCTGGTTTCAAGCTGTTTTCTTTTGCTTTCTGGGCTAAATGCTTGACTTCCTCAGAGATTTTCGATAAACCTTTCTTATCAGCGTCCTGCGATTTGGTTGTGAAATTTTATATAGGACTTACGGAGCCTGAAAGCCAACTACAAGCATTAGACTGAAAGAACACACATTTGAGACGACGACATACCCTAATTATAGGCACATACAGCCCATTTTCTGTCTGCACCGCAACATTGATATTCACATTGTGATACCTGTATCGGACAAGGTAAAGTATTACAATAAATTACCCACACTGGTTTGCTATGACTTGCATTATTGAGTACACTTACTGGCGAATGTAGTCATTGGTCCATGAACTATTACACTGAGGAACCTTTCGAAGAGCCAAAGCAGCAGCCTGCAGTCAAATAGCTGCTTAGTTAATTGTTTGAGACAATCAGTCAATTTACTCCCTCCACACCCCTCCCTCTCCATTTCGAATAATATAAAATAAAGAAAAAAAATTGAGATTGTACTATAGTTCATATTACCTTAATTACAAGATCATTAATGGATATCCTCTTCCCACTTGAACCTTCCTGCAATGCATTTAGCTGGCTGCGCAATCTGCAGAAGAAGTGGAATGTAAGAAACAAAATGAAATTCATTGCAGCAAAATCAGTGGAAGACATCAACACTCACTCCATAAGCTTGTCTACACATGTATCTACAGTTAAGTAATAGTGGGGAATGGTTTGTTTGGATAGCAACAACCTTGATGCTGTCACCTGTCAAGATGGTAAAGAAATTAGCTGCAATAAACAACTCGGCCATGAATGATAATTAAAAGTGCTAAAAACATAGAGCTGAAGGTTAATTGCATTTTGCAACTTAAGATTTTTGCATAAGAGAGCTACAAGCACTCCAAATATTTCCCATATTAAGAACGTTACACATGTTTTGAAAATGATAATATGACTTCCCTGGCACGAGTTGGCTGAACCTGGCAGGGCATGGCCAGGATTTGTATAACTTAAAACAAGTATATTTTTTGTCAAACCTTAGATCAAAACTTCATAAAAGCAGAAATACATAGGTCCTGAGATGAGAATGATGAAGCCGAACCTTTCTAATTTGTGTGTGTGGAATCTCGGTGTAATCTAGGGTAGCAGTAGCTGTGGAGGCAGCCTTGGGAGCTTGTGAAACTTCCTTACCACGAGAAGCTACAGTACAGAGAAGGTAAAATGGGTTACAAAATTGTTTTAACAATCAAGTCAATGATTATTTAGTAGAAAATATGGCAAACAATCAATACATTCTTTATTGCACCAAAGTACAAAAATTCAGACAGCACCAAGAATCAGCCAATTAATGCATAAACTACATGTAAACAGGGATGACGAAAAATACCAAGATAACCTTCAACATCGGCCTTCACAATTCGTCCATCAGGACCAGTTCCTTTGATGTTTGAAAGGGTTACCTATTTTCATGATAATTTATAGACAGCAGAAGACAAGAAAGACGCAATGAAAAACAAATTCTTATTCTCCCAAGGAAATATTTTTGATAAGATTATTGTATCAAGTATGTATAATGTACATTGTGATCTTCAGCTAGTTTCCTGGCGAGAGGACTGGCAAAAATGCGATTTCCTGCTGAAGGAGGTGCAGTAGGTGTGGAAATTTTTGGTTCTGGTGAAGTAGCAGGTGCTTCTGCAATCTCTTCTTTTGGTGGACTTGGAGCAGGGGATGTTTCAGGCGCAGGTGCAGAATCTGATGTTGAAGGCTGATAGTCTTTAAATTTTGCAACATTCTCCTCTTCTTCAACGGTTATGGCGATTATCTAGAGGCAAAAGTTACAAAACTAAATAATTATGACTTTTATGATACGAAAATCTATAACCTTGAAGAATCCAAAAGAAACCATTTTTAGAGTTTGTTTGGTAGAGATTAAAATCGGATTAAAATTGAAAAATTAGCCGTTATTGTTGACTTTTATTAGACGAGTGGGACCCAATAATGACTATAAAAAGTTAAAATTAAGTTAAAACTCTAGTACCAAACAAGCTATTAATTGTATATTCTTTTCACGGTTATCTGAAGTCTTGTTCCATTGCCCGATTCAAGGAATGGTTGTGTCTCGTGGAATGGTTTCAGGGTTGTGTCTTGTTCTCTGTCGCGAACTGGGATCGCTCGCCAGCTAGGTCAGATTGGAGCAAGAAAACTATATATTTTCCCTTTTTTTGAATTCTGATGGGCATTCATTCCCAATGGCTTAGTTGGTCTGGTTTCATTTTCAGATACTCAGTATAGTTCCATTCCCAGGGGTGGGAAACTAATCGATACCTATTTGGTTCAGTTACTAGTACACGTAACCAGAAGTCTCATGAAAAACAAAGAAACTGAGGCCTCCATTTCTGACAACTCGGAAAGAACCAAATTTATTGTATTTGGTTTGGATCATATATTTCAGAAACATACACTGAGAACTAAACCTTCCAAAAGATGATCTCCTATGTCAGATGAACCAAATAAAATGACGCCAAGTAACATTCCATACAAATTATCTAGTTGAAGAAAGGACCCTGATCAGTGCCGTCTGAGAAATAGCATAGTTTTAAGTTTAACGATTTAGTGAAGAATAGATTATTTGATTGTGTAAATAATTGAGCAAAAACTGAGATTTTGCGTGAAGGCACGGGTAAGGGAAATAAATTAAAACCTTACTCATCTGTTCAGTGTTCTTCAAAATATTACTGTATAAATTCTGAATAAACATTCAAGGGGTAGCTTGAACCAGAGGCTCCTTTATACAAATGAGATCAATACCTCACCAACTTTAATTCCACTAGATCCATCCCCTCGTAAAATCTTAGCTAGATATCCTTCTTCCATGCATTCCATTTCCACTGTTGCCTTATCCTGTAAGTATAGAAGGGATATTAAAATATCAGGTTTACAAGATAACATGGAGAACCATATTTGTTTAAGAACAGACAACAGAAAAGATTAAACAAATATACCGTTTCAACTTCACAAAGTACTTCACCAGGAGCAATTTTGTCACCCTCTTTCTTCAACCACCTAGCAATATTTCCCTGCATGATGCAAAAGAATGAATCACAACTGTCACGACAACAGAAGATGCAGTATGAGTAGGTGCTTTCAAGAACTTCAGAAAGATACGTGCCTCCGTCATTGTAGGAGACAGAGAAGGCATCCCAATCTCTTGGTGTGCAGGTAGACCTGAGAGACAGTAATATGTTTAGTATAGATGGACATGCCTCAGACAAGAACCAGTGAGAATGAGAGAATGCCCACAGAGGATCTAGCATGTAACATCCCGAAAATTATTTACTTTTTACTGTAGAGCTTAAGTTTTGTTAATTTAATTTTGATCGTTAGCAAATTAATTAGTCCATGTCTAGCCTTGTCACCACACTAAAGCCCATAAAATATGATAATACAATCTATGTATTCCTTTAAAAAAAAAAAAAAGTTTTCATTATTCGTGATTTTAAATTGTTTTTTGTAAGTATTATGAGGGCCATATAATTAAGTATAGTAGACGTTGATAAAAATCTATGAATATGCATCATGTTAAATTACGTAAATTGGGCTCGAGAAAAATTTATTTTGAACGATATATGCCAAGTATTGTGGTTGAAATAAAACTTAAGTTATCATTTAATATTATATATTTTCATAATTCCTTTGCATTAATTGGTTAAAATAGGTGTGGAGGTTTGACGTGTTGTTAAAGCAACTAACCTTATCCGATTTTCAAGTTTCTTAGCATTTTCAAATTTTCATTTAAGGTAAGATACATAAGGTGCAGAGGTTAAAATTCTTATTTCTCCATTTTATTTATATTATGATTTCATTTAATGCCTTAAGACCTTCGGGTCGATTTTACGTTAAATCTTTCGGGGATAGACCGTCAGGTCCAATTATTTTAAATCCTTTTGGATGTGGGAATTCTAAAGAAAATTTCCTTGAGCTATCTATTATTTCGATCATTTGCTCTAAATCTAAGAATGTCGGGTATGAAATATTTTATTTATATTTATATTATGTTGAATACGAATTTTGCACATATCTTACTAAGTAGTTATTTAAAATACTCACCATTACAAAATTTCAGATTAGAACATGTCTTGCTGGACGTGAGAAAGATTGGAGGAATGGATTCTTATGGGTTGCCAAGTAAAATATATTTTAAGCACGCTCATGACTAGACTTTCATTTAACATTATTAAGTTCAGTATTTGCACATTACTTAGTAGTTTTGACATCCGTGTTTATGTGTATTTCGTTTAAGGGTAAATTCTTCGGGAGATCTGTTGGATGGCAATTCCGCTCCTATTTCCTCTATCGTCCCTCGCAAGAAATGAGAAATCTTATTAAAGTCGTCACTCGGATCTTTATCTTTTGGAAGATATTGAATGATTTTAATTAAATTTAAATGTTGGTTTGACTACTCCTTTAAATTCGTTGAGTCAAATTATAATTTTTTCTTTAAAGTGGTAAATTATATATACACACACAAACACAAACACACTAAAAGTTATTTAAAATTTTACATAGGGATTAGAAAATAGTTTATATTACTAACTTAATTATGGAATATGCATATTAAATAGTTTCCAGATAGGTAAAACGTATCTAGAAACACAGTTTAGACTTGTATGCTTAATAATAATAATTTGATGCTGACTAATGGAGAAAATAACAGTATCAGGGGAAATCATAACGCTAAACTAACCTGAAGCTGTTGAAAAACTTATCCTTGAATTACCCTTTGGACTGGAATCAGCAACACATATATCAGGTTAAGTTTAAACAAGGCAATTGTAAAATTGATGTGTTTACGCGAGAAGACAAATGATCTCAGCATGAAACAAAACATACGTTGGGAGCCTTCTGTTGAACTTCATGCCAGAAACTGTTGTGTGCACTTCCATTTCTGTTCTCAGAGCATTTCCCTGTTGTGTTCCCACAGCAGATATCTGCATAACACAATTCAGATTTCAGCATTTCAATCCAATCTGTGAATAATATGTACACACCTTTATATCATGAAAAGAACTCAAATGGACAGTATTCCAGCACAAGGAATGGGAGGAAAAATTTTCAATGGATCTAATCGCAAGTTTGGGATTTACCGCTCTGTAACTACGATTAAAAAGGCTTCCACTAGAGAACTTGGAAACCCTGTGGTTTCCTCCAGGTCCAAGACCATGTTGGCTGACATCATTGGAAACCCAGTGTGCTAAAATTGCCCGATCACTTTGTAGAATCTTATGAGGGTGCCTGAGCTGTAAAATTTGAAATATATGCTATTGTTAACGAAAACACATAGATAAAACAAAATACAGATTGTCTATCATGAAGAACTAGAAAGAGAAAATGTGGAGTTTTCACTCGACTCTGACATTTAGTACGGCTAAGGAGCTGTTTTTCATCTGCCGATAAATAAACTTAATGAAAAAGTAAAACAGAAGATCAGAACTGGACAAGGAAATAAATTTGCTAGCCAATAGAACCTAAATAAAGTCCATAGTATTTTAGCTTGGAAGATTGACCAAAAAGTTCAACTACTGTTAACGCAGTCATACACATCAAAAATGTTACTGAGTTCATGAATACCATCAACTTTGAGATCATTATCTCAACACAAATGCATAGATGCAATTTAGACAATGTTCCACGTGCAAGCCCCCCGGGCAATATTAACCACACAATCAACCCCTTGCCTGTGAAACAAGAAAAAGAATCTCGACAACGGAAATGCAGCAACGAAATTTGAGATGCTATCAGCTGCTTTTGCTATAATTTTTGAATTCATCACGAGTTCGCTCATATTAAGGTCCTATTAGTTCAATTAGCTCGAAAGACTTTACGCAAAGGCCATTCTCCCATGAAGCACAGCCTAACACAATCCATATTGGCAAAAGCATGTATTCATACACTTAAGGGTTAGTCGGTCAATTCCATAGGACTTCATCGTGCAACTGCAATCACATTTAAGCGTCCATTTCTGGAAAATTGATATGATCGATGAATTCAATATGAAACCACCCGGCTATACAAAATTATATTTTATAAAACTGCATCAACAGAAAGAAACAAAGCTCGTGTTAAACAACCCAACAGAAAGATCCAAAACCCACTTTCCCAGAAAACATATAAAAGAACCCGGATCAGATTTCATATTGAGCACCTAATTTTTTTGTCATCTCGTTTAGAATGTATCTAAACATTTAGAAATACGAACTCTGTATTCTTGAATCCATTTAAGCAAAAATTCAGCTAAAATCCCGAACCCGTCATGCAAAATCACCCAATAAACAAAAACAAATGCTTAGTATTACCTTTCTAGAGTGAAGAAAAATCCGAGAAGCGAAAGTCATGTTGATGGCAGATTCAGATGCCCCTCTCCTCAGAATGCTAATGAAGAATCGATTAATCAAGGCACGTATATAAATTCGATATGTTTATTATGTAATTGGGGGTATGCTGTGCTGTTCTGCGAGAGGGCAAAATTAAAAAAGTCAGCAAAATACAAAAGAGATTCTTTCAAGTTTCTTTCAGTCCTCCGTTTATAAATAGTCCTGGTAGGAATTAAGCCTACGTGCCTCGCCTATAAAATTACACAGTTTTCAATAAAATAATATTATACGAAATTCTAAATTTTTAACCTTTTTTAACCATTTATGTTTCAAAAAAAACATTATTCTAAGGGTTAATTTCACAAATGATCACTGAAATTACATGAAAATAAAAAAAAGGTCACTGAAATTTAAAATTTGCACAAATGGTCACTCAACTTTCACGCGGTTGCAGAAATGGTCACTGAAGGTAGTTTTAGGACTTTTATGTTTTAATTGAAACTTAAAGCACCAAAACATGGTCACTTAAAAGTGGAGGACCTCAAGTGCAAAATTCATATAAAACCCATAACCATTTCCTCTCCAAACTCTCTCAATCGTTACAAGACCGACTGCACTGTCCAAAACATTTCCCTCCACTGTGAGTTGTTCGTTCGAAATTGGCCAAGACCCATATGTTGGGTGGATGCGCCATTGTGGGGGCGGTGCTAGGGGCTGCTGTCGTGGGTTGCGTCGCCGACGTCGGAATTTACGGTTGAAGGGACCGATCGCACTGTGGAGGAAAAATCCGCCATGCGAAATTCATCCTTGTTCATTCAAAATTGGCCAAGACCAATATGTTGGGTGGATGAGCCATGGTGGGGTGGTGCTAGGGGTGGTGGTCCGCTGCCTTGGGTTGCATCACCGATGTCGAAATTCACGGTTGAAGGGGCCAAAATCACGGTGACCGAAAAATTCTGCATATCTTTCTGATTTGTTTGATGTTATGAAGGAATCTGTAGGTGCATAATAAGGAGTTTGATTCGACCTGTGGGGTAGGTATGACTTGAGTGTCGCCGAAAGTTGATTTTCTAACCAGTTTTAGGTGCTTGTTCATCTGGTTTTGGATGAAATTTTCAGTCAAATCTGTCGAAGTTGGGGCTAGTGGTAGGGTGGGTTGTGAAAAGGGCAATGAGGGCTTCAAGGTGGTATGTTGATCCCGCGGCCATGGTGACTGGAGGTTGGGTTTTTGGTGGTCCAAAGTTGACGGTGAATGTTGTCGATTTGGATTATAGTGTGTGAGCAGCCCACTTTGGTGCGATTTTTCGACCAATTTCTGTAGGATTACAGCCAGTAGTTGGATGGGTTGTGAAGAGGGTGATGAGGGCTTCAAGGTGGTATGTTGGTCCGACGGTCAAGATGATCGGAGGTTGGGTTTTTGATGGTCCAGAGGTGGCTGGTTGAGAGAGTTTGGAGAGGAAATAGTTATGGGTTTTCTATGAATTTTGCACTTGAGGTCCTCCAGATTTTAAGTGACCGTGTTTTGGTGCTTTAAGTTTCAAATAAAACATAAAAGTCCTAAAACTACCTTCGGTGGCCATTTCTGCAACTGTGTGAAAGTTGAGTGACCATTTGTGCAAGTTTTAAATTTCAGTGACCGTTTTGTTATTTTCGTGTAACTTCAGTGACCATTTGTGAAATTAACTATTATTCTAACCATTAAAATGTCAAATAATGGGAGGCCAAACATGAGCTAAAATAAAAATTTTAACAGATTTTAATATAAGTTAATAAAATATGTAATTGAAAAGTTGTGAATCTTATAAAATATGTAATTAAAATGAATTGTTGATTTTGATTTAAATTAGAATAATTATTACCAAACATGAGCATAATTTACTCCGGTGGGAGGAGTCGCATTTGATGTGCTTCGTCTGTAATCAAAAGTGTAGTTTCAAAACATGAAGGTTGTGATGGTTCTCGACCTACTCACCTATTAGCAAGTGGTCCGTGTTTTTATCTTTTGACCTTTTTTTTTTTTTTTTAGTATAATTGCACGCGACCAAAAATTCAAGCGTCAATTGAGGAGTGGATTGGTAGGTGAGACAAAGTTTAATTTCGATAAAGTTTGCTTTAATGAAATATTTGTCTAATAGAAGAATATTAATAAGCAGTGGTGGAGTTGACAGTTGTAAACAATAAAGGTGACAAATGGCAAAATGGAGCTCGGCTTCTCCACATATTAGGTTCTGTTTGACTCTTTGGATCATGAGCCGCCTTTTCATATCATTAAATTAATAAAATGGAAAAATTCATAACTAAGAGTTTAACTATAACTCATTTCAAAATTAAGATAAAAAGTTTAAAATTTCAAAAATCAGATATTTATTAAATTTTATTTTTGAAATAATTAATTAAATATATATTTTATAAATTAAATATAAGGTCACAATTTTGTACAATTTTGTCACAAATTATCAAATTAATTGGTTACAAATAATTTTTCGGTCACAATTGAAAATTTTACAGGTCACAAATCACAAATTTTATAACTCACAACTTATTTTATGATCACAAAAATATTAAATTAATTGACTACAAATTATGTTTATATCACAAATTATTAAATTATTGGTCACAAATTAACAATTTTTTAGGTCTCACATTATTTATTAATCACAATTTATCTATTTCATTGGTCACGCATTGTTTATATTGGTCACACATTAACCAACTTATTGATCACAAACAACCAAATCATTTCTGACCACCACCTCATCACCCACCGCCGCATTGTCGCCGAATCCACCATTGCCCGAACCACCACCATTGCCGCCATCAACAAAACTACAACCACCACTATATCCAACATAACCTCTTCCACCATTAGATCCAACAAAGCCACCGCCACCTAAACACTACCACAACCCCATCCACCAACTGAAAACACGCCCAGAAACCTACATTTGATCGTGGAGCTGCAAATCATGACCATAACACTCAGACCAAAGCCAACATTATCATCATCGCCACCACCACTGCCCCGCCACCGACAAAACCACAACCGCCACCATATCGGCATATCCAACATAACCTTCGCCACCACCACAGCCCCCATCCACCAACTGAAAACACACCCACACTAAGTTATGGGTAAAATGGTCAATTTTATATTTCTATAATAAAAAGCATAAAAAAAATAACTTTGTCTTATCCAAACCACCACACCTCCATCTCCAACTCCAAAATAAAAAACTAGAACTCAGTGAATTCTTACCACCAGCACCAACCATCACCACCACCACATTAGAACCGCCCAACCACCGCCCTCAATCAAATAATTATACTTTGCTTGCTCAAAACCCCAGATGGCTTCCGTCAACACCACCCTCAATTAAAGAATCCTGCTTTGCTTGCTAGTTGTCCATCGGCAACCCAAAAAAAGCTTCAAATCTAATTAGGGAAGTAGATCTATTTACTCTTCATCTAGCAGCAACCCCAAATATTGAAAATCTGCAAAAAAAATCTATTTGAAGAAGCTACTTTGTTTGTTCTACACTCCTCACTACATTCCTGGGAAGTGCTTTAAGATTCGAAAGGTGCTCAAGAAAGCACAAATGAATGCATTGGCAAATAGGCTCGATTGGAGTGGAGCGTGATTCGTATGGGTAGCGAAGCTAGGGGTGAGCAAAATTCGATCGAACCAGTCAAAACCGTCCAAACCAAACCAACTCGACCGATTTGGGTCATTTTTTTGTTCTTTTTAAGTGGGTTCGATTTTTTGACTTGTAGGAAAATCAATTAAACCCGTCAAACCCGACCTGTCTACTTTAAATAATAATAATAATAAAATGTCTAAACCTAATCACTCCTTAGTTGAAAGAAGCCCTAAAATCACTATCTTCCCTCTTTCCTGCTCTCGCTCAAATCGCCAACAGTAGCCATCTTCGTTTTTCAGTTGCCCACGCCGATCACTGCACATCCAGTGCTAGAAAACCTACAGTTTAACCATCTGATTTTAATGCTATTTTACTTCACTTGATGTGTCTTATTTTGAATCAAACTTAGTTCTTCTTTTGCAGCCTCCAACAGTTTTTGCCAACAGATTTTTGCTTCTGCCAAGTGCCAACGGTTTCTGCTTTAGCATTGTAAATTTGTCATGAAATATGTAATCGTTATTGGATAATTATTTTGATGGATATTTGGTGGGATGTGCTCTTTTTATTTTCAAGTTTATTGACATTGAATGACTATATTAATATTGCTTTAAACTCAAAAATTGGATGATTTTAATCTTTGTTGACAAGTTGTCCAAAATCGATCAATATTTGATTGGGCTGAATTTCAACTTTTACACGGGTTGTGTTGAGTTAAATTGTGATCAAACCGATTGTGTTGAGTTGAGGCAAAAGACGACACAACCCATGCCCACCCCTGAGGGAAGCCGTTGATGGGGGAGTAAGTGGTGGTGGGTTTTAGATTGGTCATCCAATTGTAACAACAGCCTCTGACTCACTTCAATGCTACCCATGGTGGTTATCTCCCTTGATTATCGCTTGGAGTGGAGCACCACCTCTCGGAAGCCATGGACAACACACTCGGTGCAGTTAAATGGCTACAAACTCAAGCTCTATCGAATAGTGCTGATCCATGGTTATCAGGTAAGGTTGATTTTGATNGGAAAAATTCATAACTAAGAGTTTAACTATAACTCATTTCAAAATTAAGATAAAAAGTTTAAAATTTCAAAAATCAGATATTTATTAAATTTTATTTTTGAAATAATTAATTAAATATATATTTTATAAATTAAATATAAGGTCACAATTTTGTACAATTTTGTCACAAATTATCAAATTAATTGGTTACAAATAATTTTTCGGTCACAATTGAAAATTTTACAGGTCACAAATCACAAATTTTATAACTCACAACTTATTTTATGATCACAAAAATATTAAATTAATTGACTACAAATTATGTTTATATCACAAATTATTAAATTATTGGTCACAAATTAACAATTTTTTAGGTCTCACATT